GATGAGAGGAGTCTTGCTGTGTTGCCCAGGCTGGTCTTGAGCTGCTGGCTTCAAGTGATCCATCTTCCTGGCTTCAGCTTCCATAGTAACTGGGATTATAGGCACCAGCCACTGTCAACGCATCTCAGTACATCTCATTCTAATTCAGAATGAGATGAGGGTTAGAGATTAATACTTTAAAAGATTCAAAAGTCAAAGACCAAAATGACCCCAAACTCTCAGATAGACTCCAATCTCCAAAGGCTCATGGGTTTTCCTCATCTCCCCAGAAGACCTGGGGACATGAGCCTCATCAGCTCTGTCTCTCATCCACCAGCAAGGATCCACTTTCAATTGCCTTTGTCATGGCACAGCCTTAATGTGGAATTTTCAAGTTTAGCAAGTGAGGTACCTTTCTCTATTATTTTCCTTCATCCTCTATTACTCTCCTTACCCCAACCCAAAAGGAAGAATCACTGAATGAGCTAAGAGAATTAAAATGATTCTGAAAAATCATCCAGCCTCAAGTTGACACTATTGATTAGATTAGCATATTCTTGATTCCCCTTTTCCCAAGAAGGGAGAAAGGGAAAAACTTTATTGGGCTATTAAAAGCAGGTGAGGATGTCAGGTGTTAGTGAACACCCCAGATTTATTGCTGTAATAGAAATAATTATTCATATACTGATAAAGGTTCATGATGTATACACATTTATGCTTTTTACCGTGGAAAAGTCCATCCTTCAGGTCCCCGGGAGAGTCTTTAAGTGTTTATTCTCTTTTGCACTTCAAAGCATAGACTGTAGTTTCCAGATATGGTGGTCCGCTTCTAGGAATGAATTAGAAAAGATGCAATAAGCATTAGCCAGAATCTTAGGCAATTTGGTAAGAATATACTGCAGGGGACTGAACATGATTTCTGATCTTGAACAGTTCTTTATTTCCTTGATAACCATGTACACACTGTTTTGCTGTTGTTGTTACTGCTTACCTTTTATGCTTTCCAAGAGAGGTTCCAATTGAAATCATAATGGCAGTTCAGAGAAGGGAAAATGTTCTATGGCCTGGAATAGGGAAAGCTTTACAGAGGAGGTGAGACTAGAGCCCAGCCTTGAAGGATGCAGTAAGGTTTTACATATTTAGAAGAGGATGAGCCGGGTGTGATGGCTCACATCTGTAATCCTAGCACTTTGGGAGGCTGAGGCGGGCGGATCACCTGAGGTCAGGAGTTCAAGGCCAGCCTGACCAACATGGATAAACCCCGTCTCTACTAAAAATACAAAAAATTACCCTGGTGTGGTGGCGCATGCCTGTAATCCCAGCTACTCAGGAGGCTGAGGCAGGAGAGATGCTTGAACCCGGGAGGCGGAGGTTGCGGTGAGCCAAGATGGCACCATTGCACTCCAGCCTGGGCAACAAGAGGGAAACTCCTTCTCAAAAGAAACCAAAAAAACAAAAACAAAAACAAACCCCAAAACAACAACAACAAAAAGAGGATGATAACAAAGTGGTGAGACAGAACAGCACAGTGAGGAAGACCGAGGGTTATGAGTGAGTGAAGCACCCTGGAGAGTGTTTGAAGAAAGAGGAAATTCCATTTGTGCCTGTGAGGGGTGTGTATTTTGAATTTGTGATACATATCCTTGACCTAGTGATAGGGGCAAATCTGGTTAAAAGTTAGAAACTCTGGGAAAAAAATACTTTTTAATGGTTTTCCATATACTAGGTAGGAATTAAATACTGTATTATGAATTTTTAGAACTGTAATGATGAAAATGCATAAAGATACAGTGGCCCACACTTGTTGCTATCTTTAGGCCTCCAAATAATTTCTAATGTCTTTGCAATAGAAAGGTAAGCATCACAGTATACTGTTCTTACTCATCAAGGGAAAGCAGCAGGTCTAGTATGATCCTAAAATGCAGACGAGATGCATTTTTTGCCTCCAGAGGGCACTGCTGTTTTCAAAAAAGAAGGATGACTTCACATGCTTTGACCATGGGCTTTTGCTTTAAATGCTGCACCTGTTTCTGTCGTCAGGCCAGGTTTTACAGGCCTATGGATGGCCAAACAAGGAGCATAGTGTCCTAAACATTCCATCTCTTCCATTTTAAAAACGGCAATAACCACGAAAGCCTTGCCAGCTTTCCATCACTGCTTCCTATTGTGTTTCCTTCTCTTCAAAAGCAGCCAAACTTCTGGAATGAGTAGTGAATTCTCCTCCTGCCTGCCTGCTCACTCAGCCTACTATAACCTGGTTCCCTACCTCATCCCCAGCACTCTTTTGAAACTGCCAGTGGCCAGGCATGGTGGCTCACACCTGTAATCCCAGCACTTTGGGAGGCAGAGGCAGAAGGATTGCTTGAGCTCAGGAGTTCGAGACCAGCCTGTGCAACATGGCAAGACCTCATCTCTACTAAAAATACAAAAAGTTAGCTGCGCATGTTGGCACATGCCTACAGTTCCAGCTACTTGGGAGGTCGAGGTGGGAGGATCACTTGGTGGGAAGTTCAGGCTGCAGTGAGCTGTGGTCATGCCACTGCACTCCAGCCTGGGCAACAGGAGTGAGACCCTATCTCAAGAAAACAGAGAGAAACTGCTCAGCAGAATCCCCCATGTAGTTAATGCCAGTGGACTATCTTCTGTCCATCTTTACTGAACCACTTTCTACAGTATCTCACTCTTTCATTCCTGAAATTCTGCTTTCTTGGCTTCTCCTATGCCATCTTCCCTTGGTTCTTTTATTACCCTTCACTTTACCTTTACAGGCCTTTACCTTGAGTTCACTTCCACCAGCTACCCCTTAATTGTTTGCTCCAGGATTCTATCTAAGGCATTTTTCATCTCATTCTACTTACTCTCCAGGATTGATCTCATCCACTCCCATGGCTTCAACTCACCAACTGCAAATATGACTCCTGTATCTGTATTTCTAGGCCATGGCTCTCCTGAGCCTCATTTTTCAACTCTACCTGGAGGTCCCACAGTTCCCTCAAATAACACCTGCAAAAGGACACCTCTTATTTTCTGGTCCCCAATTCTCCATCCCACCCCCATCAAATCGATACTTTATCTCCTGGATTCTGCAGCTCAGTACATGATATATCATTTATGCACTCAAATCAGAAATCTAGGAACTTTCCTCAAGTCTTTTTTGTTTCATATCTAACTCACCTCTGGGACCTGACCACGTAAATCACTTTCAAATATGCCCCTACCTTCCTCACCCACTGACACGGCTTCACTTCAGGGTCTCAGCACCTTTTGCCTGAGGTGTGTCAATATACTCTTTGAAAACATTTAAATGTACCTAATTTTACATTTTATTGTTTTAATAGGTATTACATGTAGATGGTTCCAACTTGGAAAGTGCAAAAGGTTTCCTCTTATCTCTCTCACTAAATTCCCTGTCCAGAGTCAATCAGTGCTTCTCCTGTATTCTTCCAGAGTCATTTTTACATGAAAGGTAGTAGCTTACACACACACTTCTGCATCTTATCTTTCCCCCTTAATGTATCCTAGAGATCTTTTCATATTAGCACATAGAGAGCTTCTTCATTTTTCCCACTGCCCATTGTATTCCGCTGTATAGATATACTATTATTAAACTGCTAGTCCCCCTATTTGTGGACATCAAAAAGTTCCCTATCTTTTGCTATTGTAAACAAGGCTGTAAAGAACATCTTTGTACACAGATCACTTCACACAGGGGCTAATCTATCAATGGGACAAATTCCTAGAAGTGGAACTCCAGAACCAAAAAGTATATGCAGTTGTAATTCTGATAGTACTGCCAAATTGTTCACAGTAACGACTGACCCATTTCCAGTCTTACCAGCCATGTGCAAAAACCTTATCTCAGGCCTGTCCGCCGCCATTCATCCCTGTTTGTAAATGTCCTCCACACCCTTGTCAGCACCATATTTGCAAAATGCAAATCTGGCAAGACATTCTCTTGCTTCCCCTGCTTACAACCCTTCAATTCGTCTTCACTGATCTTCAAGGCCTTTCACCATCTAAACCTGTGCTGTCCAAGGTGTACTATCAGCCTCACAAAGCTACTGAGGCTACATGTGACCAGTCTGAATCGAGATATGATGTAAGTATAAGAAAAACACTGGGTTGCAAAGACATAGTATGATAAAAAGAATGTAAAAATCTCATTACATGCTGAAATGATTAAGTTTTGGATACATCAAGTTAAATAACATAATTAAAATTAATTTTATGTGTTTACCCTTTAAAAAATATGACTGCAAAAATGTTAGAATGCACATACCGGTTCCCATTGTGTTTCTGTTGGACAGTGGCCACCTAGGAAGGCCCTCTGTCCCTCATCCCCTCACCTACCTCCCCTCCTCCTAGGCCCCAGGCCCCGGGCCCCTTCTGTGCTTCAGACCACAGTGGTCCCTGAGCCTGGGGTGCTTTCACCCCCACACTCTTATTAAGATTCTGCTTGAAACTTCCTCTTGGAGACCTTGAAGAGGTTTTGCTTCTTGGTTCACAGGCCCGCCTCCCCTCACCAGCCCTTGACATCAGGGCCTTGCTCTGCTCCTTGGGCAGCAAGAAACAATTCAGTGCTGTTGGTTAAATCAAGCAATGGAGGAGAAAAGCTCCCAGAAGCCCGTCTAAAGGGTAGAGCTGGAGGGAAGGAATAGTTCACAAATCACAATTACCATATTAACACATTTAAATTTTCAAAAATGGGTAAGTTTAACATGGATTCAGAATGTGAATTACTTTTTAGCGTCAAATAACAGTGATAACAGCAGTAAGAGTTACAAAGAGAAACACAGGAGGAACTTTCTTTGCACAGTCTACTCACAAGGGAGGCCTGGCCCCGGGACCCCGGTCTGCGCTTCCTTCCCCCCACCCCGCCCCCGAGCCTGCAGGAGAGGGGACCCCGAGGGCCCAGGGGCACCGGACCCACTTACCTGGCAGAAGGCTCGCTGGCCGCGGCGCGGACTGCACAGGGAGGAGGGGGAAGCGGCTCTGCCGGGAACAGGGAGGGACCTCCAGGGAAGCGAAACTGAAACTTTGCGTCCAGTCGGCGGGGCGGGCGGCGCCTTTTCCTCAGTCGGGGCCCAGCTGCGTCCGGGAGCCCCCGCGCCCTCCCGACGTGCAGAGCCATGGCCTTCAACCCGCGCCCGCCGTCCCCGCTCCTCGTGCGGGTGTCCGACTCCGGCGCCCGGGTACGAAGGAAGCTGGAGAGCTACTTCCAGAGCCAGCGGCAGTCGGGCGGCGGGGAGTGCAGCGTTCGGCCCCGGGAACACGCCGCCCCGGGCACCTTCCAGGTGGAGTTCAGTGAAAGGGCAGGTGAGCTGCGGGCGGCCGGGCTGCGAAAGCCGTCCCTGGGGGCCAGGCCCGGGTCTCCGGGCGGGCCCAGTTCAAGCTGATCTAGGGGAGAGGGCGGGAGAAAGTATGGTGGCACTGTGCGGTGGGGGACAGGGACGGGCCCTGCTGCCCAGAGACTCACTGAGACTGTGGACGCTCGGTGGAGGATAGGGCCTCACATATGCCCGGTGCGGGTCTGGCTGAACACGCCTTAGTGTGGATGCTTTCCATATCCTCAACCTAACTTCTCAGCTGTCGTCTTCCTTCCCCCAGATGCCTGCCAGCCGCTGTCCTTGTCATTCAGGGATTCCACTTTTATTTTATTTCATATTTCTTGGGGGGCTCTAGTACTTGCCAGGGATTCCACTTTTATGTTTTAAATAATGGGTCCCATTGTTCCATCCATGAACAAAAGGATGTTCCATTTTGTATTTTTGAGGATTACAAAAGTGATATATGCTCACTATAGAAAAGGTAAAAGAATAAAAAAAAAGAAAGAAACCAGGAGATAAACAGTGTGACCATTTGGCATATTTCCTTCTTGCCCTTTTTTATGAATGTCAGTAAACACATATGTATTTATAAAATTGGGAGTCTGCAGTCTTGATTCCTGCTGTTGTCACTTTCCTACATAATGGGTATTGAAATGGGAGACTGGGCCAGGTGGGGTGGCTCATGCCTGTAATCCCAGCACTTTGGGAGGCTGAGGTTGCTGGATCACCTGAGGCCAGGAGTTCCAGACCAACCTGGCCAAATGGCGAAACTCTGTCTCTACTAATAATACAAAAATTAGCTGGATGTGGTGGTGCTCACCTGTAGCCACAGCTACTCCGGAGGCTGAGGCAGGAGAATTGCTTGAAATCAGGAAGCAGAGGTTGCAGTGAGACGAGATCACACCATTGCACTCCAGCCTGGGTGACAGAGTGGGACTCCATCTCAGGAAGGAAGGAAGGAAAGAAGGAAAGGAAGGGAGGGAGGGAGAGAAGGAGTAAAGGAGAGACTGGAGACAGTTTCAGAAACATGACATTTAATGAGTGGACAATGTTCCATTGTCATTAAGCCAAGCTTAAGCGCCACACTTTAGAGCTCTGAATAGTTCCCCCACTTCCTCCATTGCCAACCGACCACTCCAGGATGCAGGTAGCAGCCTTACTGGGAGGTGCTGGGGCAGGATACAGACACAGGAATGAGAGGATTACTTGACATCTCTCCAATTTTTGTGTGTGTATTTAATGTCTCTGCTGAAGCTAAGGAGAGAGTGTTGAAAAAAGGAGCGCACCAAATGCTTGTTGATGACAAACCTATGCCCATTTTGCTGGTACCCACTGAAAACTCAATAAAGAAGAACACAAGACCCCAAATTTCTTCGCTGCCACAGTCACAAGCAGAAACACTGTCTGTTGATACACATCAAAATGATGGACAGATTCCTAATGCTGTGGATTCCTGTCTCCAAAAGGTGAGTATTGAAAAAAGGAGCTGACTGTCCCTGCGCTTCCTCTCCAGTCACCAACCTCATATGTTATTGGCCCAACACCCACATGGGCACATACACGGGAGCCAGGCATTGTTTTAGGCACTGGACACAGAGATTAAGACAACAGACAAGATCCCTGCTCTCAGGCAGCTTATATTATGGGGCCAGGGCATGCACAGAAAGACAATAGGCAAGTAAATAAAGTAAATAAAACAATTTTATTCCATCCTGGCCAATATGGTGAAACCCTGCCTCTACTAAAAATACAAAAAAAATTAGCTGGGTGTAGTGGCACACGCCTGTAGTCCCAGCTACTTGGGAGGCTGAGGCAGGAGAATTGGTTGAACCCAGGAGGGTTCAAGAGCTGACACTGCGCCATTGCACTATAGCCTGGGCAACAGTGCCATTCTGATTTAAAAAAAACAACAAAAAATCTCCATTTTATTTATTTGGAGAGAAACAGAGCCAGGGCGAGCAAGGGGAAGATGGGGGTAGTGTTATTTTTTTTTCCCCTGAGACAGAGTCTCGCTTTATCACCCAGGCTGGAATACAGTGGCACAATCATGGCCCACTGCATCCCTGACCTCCTGGGCTCAAGCAATCTGCCCGCTTTGGCCTTCCAAAGTGCTGGGACTACAGTCATGAATTACCGTGGCTGGCCTGGTGCTACTTCTAACCAGCAGTCAGAGACGACTGAGGAGGTGACATTTGGCCTGAAACTTGAATGATGACAAGATTCATTCAAAAATAGATATCAACTGCCTACTGTGTTTCAGGCACTGTTACAGGAGCTGGGGAGGCAGCCAGGAACATGGCAGACTCTGCTTCCAGGGACAGCACCTTCTAGTGAGAGAAACAGACAATATTAGTAAACAAATAGACATATAATGAAATGTCTGCCAGTCATACCTGCTAGGAAGATGAATAAGAAGAATAAGTGACAGAAGTGACAGAACCACCATTTAAAATAGGATGTCTGGAAAAACCTCAAGTGAGGTGACATCTCTACCTAAGCGGATTTCTCAGGGGGAAATGTCCTATAGGGAAGCACAGGTGCAAAGGCCCCAAGAGCCAACATCTGAGGCCCAGAAACTTTAAGGAAGCCAGTGGCAGGGAGGGCGGGGAGCAAGGGAGAGAGGTGCTAGGAACTCGGCAAGTTACCTAGAAGACATATAGGCCTTTGGGGCTGAAGGTAAGGACTTTGGCTTTTTAATTTAAAATGTTAGGGGATTCATCAGATAGTTTTGAGCCAGGGGAGAGGGCGATCTGGTTTATGTTTCTAAAGGGTCACTCTGGTTGCTGTTGGAAAACTGAACGTAGGAAGGAGCTAGAATGGAAAGTTAGAGCCCAGTTAGGAGGGGTTGCAGTGCACCAGGTGAAAGATGATAATGGCGTGGACTCTGGGTGGTCCTAATGGAGGTGTGAGAAATGGCTGGATTCAGGAAACATTTTGAAGATCTGGAGGAAGGATCTTACATGCCAAGTCCTTAAGAGGCAACAAAACGTTAGAAATTTTGCTTTTTATATTATACTCAATTTGCCTCTGTCCTTTTTATCTTAATCCGGCATGTCTTATATTTGAGCTTCTAAAGGCCAGGGTTTAGAAGGGCCCAGCAACTTTGCATGCAGTTGGGTGTTTAGTTGAAAAAAGAAAAAAGGAGGCGTGAAGAAGAGAAAAAACAGTAATAGGAAAAGCCCTTTCCTCAGTTTTATGGCTCCCTTCCAAGCTCACAGACTTTTTTTGGGGCCACAACAACTTACCCAGAGAGCACAAGTGCCTTCCCTCGACTGCTGTTCCCAAGATCAAACAGATAGTGGAAGTTGTAGAACACAGATATCTTGGCCATAGAGCTTTTAGAAATGCTCATGCCCAGGCCCCGCTGCAGACAGTTAACATCAGAATCTCTGGGGATGCACTTGGGCTTTGGCTGTTTTGTTTTTCCCTGAACTCGCCAGGTGATTCTTATATCCAGACAGGGCTTAGAACCTCTGGAATGTAGCATGCTGCATCCTCTAAAAAAGATTTGAGGCTGGACGCAGTGGCTCACACCTGTAACCTCAGCACTTTGGGAGGCCGAGGAGGGTGGATCACCTGAGGTTGGGAGTTCGAGAACAGCCTGACCAACATGGAGAAAACCTGTCTCTACTAAAAATACAAAAATTAGACAGGCATGGTGGTGCATGCCTGTAATCCCAGCTACACAGGAAGCCGAGGCAGGAGAATCGCTTAAACCCAGGAGGTGGAGGTTGCAGTGAGCTGAGATCACGCCATTGCACTCCAGCTGGGGCAAAATGAGCGAAACTCAAAAAGTAAAAATAAATAAATAAATAAAATGGATTTGAAAGAAGTCACCCCCTGCTTAGGGAAGATGTAGTGGTTGTTTCTCTAGTCTCTAGGCATTCTCCTGAAGAAAAGACTGTAGGCCTGCATGCTGAGAGGTTTTATTTGTTCCTGTTCCTTTTAAAATTTCAGATCTTTCTTACTGTAACAGCTGACCTGAACTGTAACCTGTTCTCCAAAGAGCAGAGGGCATACATAACCACACTGTGCCCTAATGTCAAAAAAATGGAAGGTCCTAATGGAATTGAGAAGGTGTATGGTGACTTCCAAGACATTGAAAAAATACATCAATTTTTGAGTGAGCAATTCCTGGAAAGTGAGCGGAAACAGGAATTTTCCCCTTCAGCGACAGAGAGGAAGCCACTCAGTCAGCAGGACAGGGACAGCTGCATTTCTCCTTCTGAACCAAAAACCAAGGCAGAAGAAAAAAGCAACTGTTTTGAAGTTCCCTTGCCTTACTTTGAATACTTCAAATTTATCTGCCCTGATAAAATCAACTCAATAAAGATAAAATTTGGTGTAAACATTAAAATCCAGGAGAGTTCTCCAAATATGGTCTGTTTAGATTTCACCACAGATCAATCAGATGACCTAGAAGCAGCTCGTGAGTCTTTTGCTAGTGAATTTCAGAAGAATACAGAACCTCTGAAGCAAGAATGTGTCTCTTTACCAGACAGTAAGCAGGCAAATCAAATCAAACAGAAATTGAATCACCTGTTTACAAAGCTCCTTATAAAGGAGAAAGGAAGAGAATTAATTCTCCTTGGGACCCAAGATGACATTTCAGCTGCCAAACAAAAAATCTCTGAAGCTCTTGTCAAGGCACCTGTGAAACTATTGACTGCCAGTTGGATGACGAAAGGAATTGAAGTTGATAGTGCTCGCTATAAGCTTTTAGAAGCTGAATTACTACGGGAGGTATCAGAGATCGAAAAAAGGTATGACACTTGCATCAAGGTTTTTGAGAAAGGTCAGAAAACCTGCATTCTGTTTGAACCCAAGGACAAGCAGGTAGATCTATCTGTGCATGCTTATGCAAGTTTCATCGATGCCTTTCAACATGCCTCATGTCAGCTGATGAGAGAAGTTCTTTTACTGAAATCTTTGGGCAAGGAGAGAAAGGACTTACATCAGACCAAGTTTGCTGATGACTTTAGAAAAAGACATCCAAATGTACACTTTGTGCTAAATAAGGAGTCAATGACTTTGATTGGTTTGCCAAATCACCTTGCAGAGGTGAAGCAGTATATTCTAAAAGGAGGAGGAACAGCTTCATTGGCTGGAGAGAAATTGAATGAGGATCCTGAAACACCGATGGACATTGATAGTGATGATTCCAAAGCAGCTTCTCTGCCACTCAAGGGCTCTGTGAGTTCTGAGGCCTTAGAAGTGGACAAGAAGGAAAAGGACGTCTGTGTCATCTGTATGGACACCATTAGTAACAAAAAAGTGCTACCAAAGTGCAAGCATGAATTCTGCACTCCTTGTATCAACAAAGCCATGGAATATAAGCCAGTCTGTCCCACATGTCAGACTTCCTATGGTGTTCAGAAAGGAAATCAGCCAGATGGAAGCATGGTTGTCCATGTTTCAAAAGAGTCACTTCCAGGTTATGATTCCTGCGGCACCATTGAGATTAATTATAACATGAAAGGAGGCAAACAAACAGTAAGTATTTCTGAGGTCCATGGTTTCTTGCCACTACACTACGATTACTAGAGCAAAAGAGACTGTCCTATTGCCTATTAGACAGTAGATTTCCCAAGGAATTATCTCCACGGTCATACACAAGGGACTGAAATAGTTAAAGGTCACAGAGTTTGCTGATGACTCAAATAGCTTTTTGTCTATTTCTGAAGACAGAGAAAGGGTGGGTGGAGATTATATCTTGAGTTGGCCTGGGGGGTGGGGGGGTCAGGAAGGTGGAAAGTGTTCCCAGCATGAATTCAAGGAAAGAGGAGAAATATGAGTTACTGGGAGTATGAGCAAAACTTCAATACTTTTCTTGCTTTTGATTTGCTTTATCTACAAACGAACACATCTATACATACAGAAAAATTTAGATAGTGTGCTATTTTCACATGACATTTTCTTGTTTTCACACAGAAGGAGCACCCAAACCCAGGAAAGACCTACCCTGGAGTACATCGAATTGCATACTTGCCTGATAATGAGGAAGGAAGGAAGGTTTTGGAACTGCTTCGTAGGGCCTTTGAGCAAAAGCTGATTTTTACAGTGGGGAACTCTCGAGTATTAGGAATCTCAGATGTCATCACTTGGAATGATATTCACCACAAAACATCCAAATTTGGAGGACCAGAAAGGTGAGAGCCTTTTGGGATGTAATGGATGCTCAACAGAGCATAGGGATTATGAAATATGACAATTTTTGAATGTGTATATAAGGAGAACCTATAGCAGCGGTATTGGGTATAGTAAAGTATTTTGAGAGATGCTAATCGGGGATGACATTTCAAAGACAGAAAGATTGGTCCCCATCAATTTCCACCCTGCCAACTATAAAGTACTATGGAGTTATTTAAATTTTGCACCAAAGGGCAGGAGGTTTTTAAATCCAAGATGAATAGTATATATGCTGATTTAATTTGAGGCTTCATGTCTATTTGAAGACTAGATCCTAGGAATGTTACTTTGCTTTCTTTTAAGGTCACCTTTCTTTTTCCCCTGTTCCTCCACCAGTCCACAGAGAACCGGAAATCACTTGGTAATAATATTCTAGGAAAAAGTCTAAGTTTTGAGGAGACTATTAGTAGAAACCGTGTTACAGGAAATCCAATTGTTCTTTATGAAACCCAAATAGTATTCCTCAAATCCTTGGTACTAAAGAAAATATGTACCTTGAGACTTTTTCAAAACCTTAAATTTGAAAATCCTACTAGCATGTGATTACAATGCCCCATGAAACACAGTATATTATTGTATCTTTATGAGAGTCACTACTTGCCATAAACTGAAAAATTTTAAGAATTAACACAGACATGAAGCCTCAAATTAAATCAACGTATTTACCATTCATCTTGGATTCTAAACCCCTTTGCCCTTTGATGCGAAATGTAGTAGCTACATCACATTAATGCTTTGTAGTTGTCAGGGTAGAAGCCAGGTTGAAAGGCAGATGTTGGCCAGACAGCTAGGCTCACTTGCTAGCTAAATGACTGACATCTACAAACGTAAAAGTCATGATACGTCATCCACCTTCAGGATTACTTGTGCATGTTTGCGACACTTTATATTAAATCCTTAAATGCTGAATATCTATTGCACATATCAGAACCACTTGTGGTAACGCTAAAGGAATTTTTCTTTCTCCAGTTACGGCTATCCTGATCCTTCTTACCTGAAACGTGTCCAAGATGAGCTAAAAGCCAAAGGAATTGAGTAAGAAAACTGGTGGAAGATGTCTTAAATCAGCCTTTCAAAAAAAAAATATTTTAGGAGGCTGACTTAATGCCAATCTAAATCCTTACTCAGAAAAAACTTTGAAATTTTTCATTTCAAGAAATGGTTTGTATAAGAATAAGAATCTGCTAGTTTGTCATTTTGGGAGTGATACTTTTTATGGAAGACAAAGGCCCCCCAAATCTGTGTAAAATCTGCTGCACAGGTGTCATGCCTCTCGTGTCATCACTGGGGTTAGAGGTGGGTCTGAAATCATCTTCTATGTCCTTCAGTTGGAGTATCAGCTGCCAACTGATCCCTTTTTCATTGCCATCTCTGGGGTGCTCCTTTAGTTTTTTTGTTTGTTTTCCCCTTCATACCTGTGAAAGTGAAATTCTATTATAAATGGTGGCGGGGGGAAATGTTTGGTTGTAGAAAATCAAAGACCCATATTCCCCTTTTAAAACCTCATGGCAGGAAAAGTGGCCATGAGCAGAGATTGGGAAAGCACTGGTAATAAATGGAATAAGGAAGGCTATTATAATTATTATTATTTTTTTGAGATGGAGCCTCGCTCTGTCGCCCAGGCTAGAGTGCAGTGCTGTGATCTTGGCTCACTGCAACCTCTCCTTCCTGGGTTCAAGCAATTCTCCCGCCTCAGCCTCTCCAGTAGCTGGAATTACAGATGTATGCCACCACACCCGACTAATTTTTTGTATTTTTAGTAGAGACAGGATTTGCCATGTTGATCAGGATCCTCCTGCCTCAGCCTTCCAAAGTGCTGGGATTACAGGCATGAGCCACCAGACCCACACAAGACTATCTTTTTTTTTTTTTGAGACGGAGTCTTGCTCTGTCGCCAGGCTGGAGTGCAGCGCAATCTCGGCTCACTGCAACCTCCGCCTCCTGGGTTCCAGCGATTCTTCCGCCTCAGTCTCCCGAGTAGCTGGGAGTACAGGCGCGTGCCACCACACCCGGCTAATTTTTGTATTTTTAGTAGAGACGGGGTTTCATCATGGCGAGAATGGTCTTGAGCTCTTGACCTCGTGATCCGCCCACCTCGGCCTCCCAAAGTGCTGGGATTACAGGCGTGAGCCTAGTATATAGTTGGTGCCTGTCTTAGTCTGTTTGTGTTGCTATAAAAGAACACCCAAGACTGGGTAATTTATAAAGGAAAAGGATTTATTTGGCTCTCAATTCTGCTGGCTAGAAAGTTGGGCATCTGGTGAAAGCCTCAGGCTGCTTCCATTCATAGCAAAGGCAAAGGGCAGCCAGTGTGTGCAGAAATCACATGGCAGAGAAGAAGTGAGAGAGAGGTGCAGGGGAGATGCCAGACTTTTTTAAAACAACCAGTTCTTCAAGAACTAGAGTGAGAACTCAGTCACACCCCTGAGAATAGCACCAAACCATTCATGGGGGATCTGCCCCCACGACCCCTCCCATTAGGCTTCACCTCCAACACTGAGGATCAAATTTCAACATGGTATGAGGTGACTCTTTGGATATACAGCGGTCAGGGAAAAAAAAAAAAAAAATTTCAACATGGGTGTTGGAAGAGGTCAAACAAACCAAACTATAGCAGTGCTTCATAAAGTTGTGTTGCCTGACTCAGGTTGCTAGTAAACCAGCAGAGGAATATTTGCCTCCTAAATCTCTGGCAGAGGCAGGAGTAAGGAAGTCGTTTCTAGAGTCCACTACTAATCTGGAAAACTGAACTTTCTTTCATTGCTTTTTTCCTTAAGAGACAAGGCCTTACTTATATTGCCCTGTCTCTTAAGGGAAAACATCAAGACCGGACTTGAACTCCTGGGCTCGTCATCCTCCCATCTCGGCCTCTAGAATAGCTGGGATTATAGGCACGTGCCACGGTGCCTGGCTTGAGCTTGGACTCCAACCAGGCCCTTCACTTGAGCCTTTGCTTTCTTCTCCTTGTAAACTGCTATATTGGGTGCACTTGCCCTGCCACAGTAATGCTACAAATTTCTGAAGATTTTTTTTCTCTAGATATTTTTGTACTTTTGAGTATACTCCACTTCTAAGTGTTTTTTGTTTGTTTATCTTGTTGTTGTTCTGAGACAGGGTCTCACTGTGTCCCCCAGGCTGGAGTGCAGTGGCACAATCCCGGCTCACTGCAGCCTCAACCTCATGGGGCCAAGTGATGCTCCCATCTAAGCCTCTCAAGTAGCTGGGACCACAGGCATGCACCACCATGCCTGGCATTTTCTTTTTTTTTTTTTCCTAGAGATGGGGTCTCCCTGTGTTGCCCAGGCTGGTCTCAAACTCCTGGGCTCAAGGGATCCTCCTGCCTTGAGCTCCCAAAGTGTGGGATTACAGTCATGAACAACCATGCCCAGCTTACTTCCAAGTTTAACAGACAAAATAAACTTGCTATAGTTTCCGTCTCTATAATTTTTATAATAACTGTAGCCCACATTGTGGTAGTTTTTTATCCTTTTACTAAGTCCCGCCAGTTCATGTTTTCACCCTTAAAATCTTTCTCGCTGATACTCTCTCTGGACAGAAAAAAGGTGAAATAAGCCTACTGTAATGAATATATGACATGTCAAATTTTATTTTTAAATGATTCTTCGAGTCAGATTAAAGTAATAAAAGCAAATTATGTGATTATCCATGGCCCAGCCTCTCTCCAAAAATGGTAAACAAGATGTCTTCTTCTTTTCCCAAAGATACATATACACATCTACAAATTTTTTGTCAGATAAATTTACCCTGTCTTAAATAGCTAATATTTAGTGAGTACTTATTTTGTCCCCATTTACAAGAGCTTTACATCCATGTGATTGATACCATTCAAATTCTTATTTTATAACTGAGAAAACTGGTGCACTGAGAGGATAAGCAACTTGCCAAAGTCACACAGTTAATAAGTGGAAATGCTGGGATATGAACCAGGTAGTCTCCCCCCATAGCTCTGGCCCCCAGAGCTATACTGTCTCCCATGAGGGTACTTCTCCATGGAGCAGGCTGAGGCGATCCCTTTGCTCTGGACTTCTCTGAGAAAGGGATCCCCACACAGTACTCAAAGCGAATCTCCTCAGAGGAAATCCTATATGAAGAACCTAAAAACTCTCAATCTTTTTCTTTGTCCAGAGAGTTGATGAAGCTTAAGCTAAATGATACATGTCTTTTTAAAAAATTAGGTAATAAATGTAGTTTTTGGTGATTCATTAAATTCTTTACCATTATGGTTATTTTCTAGCTATTCATCTTTTAGCTAAATTTGTTCCAAAGAAGCAAAAGCTTGGTTTCTGCTAAGTTCTGGATGGGAGACTGCACTGTGTATGATGGGCAAGCTTCATGGTATGGGTGATTGGAGAGCATTTGGATTACTGCTTTCACTCTTTGGAAGGTGTTATCATTTGTATCTGCTTTAAATAAAGTTAAAGATTTGGAACAAATTGTGTTCTTTCCCTCACTTCTTTTTTTTTGCCCCTTAGGTTGAGATTCTGGGTGTTTCCCACAATACGTACGGGATACAGTTGTATAACATGTGCATGAAGGTCTTTGGTTGATTTTGTGTGTAGCTGCTTCCTAAATATTACCACAGCACAACTTAACTACTCTTGACTTCACTGCAGTTACTTTTGGCTGTGAAAATCACATTTCTCAATATTTTTTCCTTATAACACAAAGGTTATAAAGATAAAAGTAGGCTGCAGATTTCTTCTCTTCTCTTCTAGAGAAAGCATATGTAATACCCTATCAAACTATACGTGCCCCTCCTTGCTTCTAGAGGTTCTGTTTCACCTCTCCAACATTGGTGCTGAATTACCCAGACAGCTTATTGATCACTATTAGATCAGGGGCACACTCCTCTCCAAAGAAAAAATAAAATAATAATACTGACATATTTGATGCTTCCCTGAAAATAGCATCAAAGTAGTCATTAGGAGAAAATTAAGATCTTTATTGGACTTCCTTATGCTTAATAGTTTAGTATTAACAAAAATCAGCCAGGCATGGTGATGCACATCTGTAATCCCAGCTACTTGGGAGGCTGAGGCATCAGAATCTCTTGCACCTGGGAGGTAGAGGTTGCAGTGATCTGGGATCATGCCACTGCACTCCAGCCTGGGCGACAGAGTGAGACTCCATCTCAAAAAAAAAAAAAAAAAATTTTTTTTTAGTACTGTGTTTGGTTTGATTTCCATATGGAAGTTAGGTACTATTTCCTTTTTTATTGATTGGGTCATTTTTATTGATCAGATCTAAAACATACAGCTTGAGGCAAAGATTAAGATATTAATAATTTTGGAAGTCCAAGCCCAAGGACAAACAGAGAAGCCAGGCAAAGTAAGATGTAATGCAACGCAGTGCTAGGGGTTATCACCCTGGTTACTGCTTCACAATGAGCCTGATGCTGCTGGTCTGGGAATTACATTTAGAGATCCATTGACCTAGAAAATAGAGTTTAAACTAAGCAGCATGAACATTATAGAGATTTCTCATGCCCCTTTGCATACCTTCCATTCCTTCCTCACTACCAAGTCCCTAGGGTTCAGTCACACAGTCTACAAGATTTTCCAAAGCATCGTCTATACTTTCATTTCTTGTGATCTTTGTAATCCACCCCCCTGCCCCCACTCTCTGCATGATAGATGATGAAAAAGGGAACTCTGAAGAGAGAGGGAGAGAGAGAGAGACATGCCTTATTCTGATTCTTCACCTCATTTTCCTCTTAGAAAGTCCCCTACTCATCATCCAAGATCTTATTGAAATGCCACTACTATAGAAACTTCTCCAATCGTGTCTTTAAATTACAATGAACCACTGATTTCTGTTATCCTAATATTTTATATGTATCTCAATGCAGATATGATACCAAAACCGATTACCCTACTCTCTGCCTTGAAGGTGGTACTGGTGGCTGACCACCAAGTACTGCATCAGCTCTGTTCTCTGATTGCTCTTTGGGTTCTGCAGTGGGAGGTACCAGCAGAGATCCGAAGGCAGGGGGAGAGAGAGCTTGGGATGTTTATATTCCCTCAGCTATCTCCTGTAAGCAGTCATGAGTTCTACCTGCTGGCACCTACCTATGGGTATAGCTCTTACCAAGTTCAGATGCCCCCTCCCTTGCCCCTTTGGCCTAGATGGTAAGGGGAGAAGGCTGTGTCACCTTTTTTCACTGGTTTCCTTAAC